CTAACGAACGGAGACGTAACAATATATTGCTTAGATATTTTCAAAACGAGACCCAAAACACGAGCACTTTCGAATAGTTAACTATTCTTCTTCAGGAGAATAAAGGATTATATCTAATGAGTGTACTGATGTTCAATATGAGTTGGCCTTGAGAGCTAGCCAATCATAACCTAGAGTTGTTTGTTTCCGGGGTGTGTAAAGTTCATAAAAGACTTATGTGGGATAATAGTTATAAGAATTGTTAACTAATTTCTATAAAAATAAAGTCAAAAATAAAATAAACAATGAAATTAAATAACGGCAAAAGGCGGTGGGAAATAGAGAAAATAGTAATGTAGCTCAATATATAGGAAATCAAACTAATATATAGAGAGAAATGTAAAGAATAATGCTATTAATGTAAAGTAAGTTTGTTTGGAATTATGCACAAAACTATACAATGATATAAATAAAAGAAAATTATGTGCTAAACAATCTGAGTAAACGATGTACACTTTGAATATTACATGTTACAATTTTACCTCACATGCTTTAGTGATATACAGCGTTACATATTTTACATCATATTAGCAATAACTCATCATTATACGAACAATAAACATTTTTTTGACACTGATGTTCTTAACTTCAACTCTAGAACGATACTGATTTTTGTCTTCATGATTCCCCCTTTTATATTCTACGTGGGTAGACCAACTCCAGCTCGATAGACTGCATACTATAGTAGCACCAAGTGATGTCTGTACACGACAGCTAGAGTTATAAATCACCATTAAACAGGAACTTCAAATTCCGATAAAATATGCCTATGGTTTCTGATTCTCCCTCCTCCTTCACGACCAACTAGTTGGAATCAGCCGGTATTTCTGTAAGCCAAGAATTTTTACTCTCAAGTGGCAGGTCCAGTCGGCAATTATATAGGAACAGCGTGTTCGTTGACGGGGATTCGAACTCGCGACCCTCAGATTGCTTCTTAATTTTTGGTGTTTATTAAATTTAACGAGCTAACTCGTGGGCCCCATGGTCCATATTTAGAGGGTGACTATAATGCAATGTTTAATGCTTGAACTACTATTTTGCACTTTTTTTTTCAGTTTAATGATCATTGCCGCTATAATGCAAATTTAATTTATTTAATCAAGTTACGAACGGTAATTAGTAGGCCTACTTATTAACGTCCTCCAATGTAAATTAATGCCAAATTTGGGGTCCTCTTTCGGGTAATCCCAGTAAAAGGGTTTTCGCGAAACATCCGGGTTTTCCAAGAGGTGGGGTGAAAATATTTACCTTTGTCCAAATCTCGGGACCGAGACCATTCGTTTAGTACAACTTAGAAGCCGTTGGAACCAGCGGTTTTGGAGAAGTTACGTGAGACACAGACACCGAATTTTATTATATAGATTTGTTGGTGTTTATTTTTGGAGCTGGATATAGATAGCATATATTTAGTTTTTCGCTTTATACACACACATGTATATATATACACACATATATACTATACCAAATTAATTATTTTATACTTTTCCTCCAAATTCTTTGAACACGGTCCACTTTAACTTCTATGGCATAACTTATTAACTTATTATGAATTACTTCTATGTTAGTTTAACCTTTGCTACCCCTCAATAGTTGTGGTGACTTTAAAGTATTCAATGCTAGATATAAATCAGGAAGGATGGACAGTGAATAACACCACTGAGGAAGGGGTGAAGTTAAAGTGAATTGAATAATCATTCTCAGTAGTTTTCCCGGTGTTTATTGGATATACAACTTTTTTTTTCCGTATCACGAGTATTTTATCAGTTAAAACTGAAAATCGAAAGCCTTAAATGTCTTACGTTGTTTTCGTCATTGATGTTTACCTGAAACACCTTTGTATAAGTAACTACACTTTCGTAGTGTAAAAACAAACTAGAAAATGTCTTCTATCCTATCAACAGTGAAAGCTTTAGGTTGATATAAGTAAAATAGTAACAAGCAGATTTGATATTTTTTATTAATCCCATTATAATGAGGGAGGTTTATAGTTACACAAATTGGTTAGAATGCCAAAAATTTTGTTGTTTACAAGAATAATAATAATTATTATTATAAAGGAATGG